CTCTCTCTCTCTCTCTCTCTCTCTCTCTCTCTCTCTCTCTCTCTCTCTCTCTCTCTCTCTCTTCATGATGGTCTTCAGTGCAGCATTTCCACCTATCGCCGGCTATCGGGCTTTAAACTCCTGTAGGACCTGTACACATTGATATGCAAGGCATGTGGCAAGCCATTACTTCTGTGACGGGTTACAATTGCACGTTGTGGGAGTGCTGTGTGTTTTATGAAGTTCAAAGGGCATTGTGTCCATGTTCTTGGGCCTTAAGGTTGATTTCTGTGATGTGCAATTGTGGTGATTCTGCTGTGATGCAGAGGAATCGGCACTTATGGACATGCTGGAATTTACATTTACTGGAAAGGTGAAGGCTCAGAGCTCTCAGGACTTGTTGGACGTACTCCTAATGGCAGACCGGTTTCAGGTCGATGCCTGCACCCATCACTGCACAAAATTACTGAATGAGTTTGACCTCACTGTAGAGGATAGACTCCAGTTTCTTAATCTTCCAGTGGCGGTGCAGGAGACGGATGCTGTTAAGAGCCTTATTGAGGGCGCAAAAGAGCACATTGCTGTCCATTTCCGCGACCTGCATAAGATGATGAACGAAGCGTTGACACTGCCTCTGCCAGGTGTGGAGATCCTGCTGGAAAGTGATGCGATAAACGTCTCGTCGGAGGACATAGTGTTTGATTTCGTCATAAAATGGGTGCGGCAGCACACACAAGACCCCGTGGAGAGGCAAGAGGTGTTCAAACGGTTGATTCATCTGGTGCGATTCCCTTGGATGTCGAACAAGCGCTTGATGAGGGTCTGCTCCTCACCGGATTTGGATCAGGATTACATTAAAAAAATGGTTATTGAAGCCCTTTTATTCAAGGCCGAGTCCCCCTTTGGACGGCAGAAAATGGCGAAGGAAGCGGAGGAGAAACATAAGAGGTTCCGAGAGAGGTCGTACAAACTCAGGCCGGTGAAAGCGGTGGCCTTTGACAATCCATGGCCCCATTGCATTGTATACCTGGACTTGAAAATCGAGGAGGTCCGCAATTTGTGGCCGAAAGGACACATCTACTCGCAGTCATTCCACTGCGGCGAGCACGAGTTCTTTATGTCCGCTCAGTGCAATGCGAACAAGGATTCCAACTTGAACACTTTTGGACTCTTCCTTGGCATGCATGAGCGGGGTGCTTCGGCAGCCACAGTGGTGGTGGACTACGACTTTTCCGTCCGAACAGTTCCCTCCATGCAGTTCGTGAGCAGGGTGAATAGCACCTACACTTTCACAAGTGGGAAGGTGGTTGGTTATCGAGACCTGTTTCTATTGAAATGGGAAAACTTCGTTGCAGACAATAGCCCATTCTTCTTTGGTGGTGTTTTGTACATTCGAGTTGAGCTATCACTGAAGCAGAATGGCAATCGACCTCCAGGTACGTAAGCGAACACTACACAACATCTAGTCTTATAGCTTAGATCGCCACTACCTCCTCCAATGGCGCTGACGCTCCTGCTATGTAGTCAACAGGGCAGCGGATACCTCAAAAGAACAGGACATGGTGGCGATACATGAGCATCCAGGGCCAAAAGTGTGAGGTGCAGCAAGCACACGGAAATGGGAGTGCGAGGTTCGGCATAATAGCCTGGAAGTTGTTGTCGATCATTGGATCGACTTCGTCAGCACTAAGCTATGCTTCGTGTCAGCACCTTAGCTGTGGGAGCACAAGCTAGGCTTTACCAAAAAGCAGCTGATGAATCTCTTAACTGTGGTAGCATTGCTTGTGCCACACACATGGGCGGGTCTGCCTGTAGGCGTCGGGAGGTCGGTTGCCTCCTGAAATGTGGTTCAGAAAGGGGGGGAGGAGCGTGTTTGCCTGTTAGGCACAGGGAGGTCTGCTGGTTAAACAGGCTGACCCTGCAAATTGAATAAAGAAACCCGTGGCAGTGAGGTCGTCAATCCAACTGACCAGCTGAAAAATGCCAGGGGCTCCTGATAACCAGGGAGGGCGGTCGGAGAAGGTATTGGTGGATTCTGGAAACTTGGTTGCAAGAAAGATATACGAGGAGTGGGTCTGCCTGGAGGCATGATGAGGCGGTGTTTTGCTTCAGGAAATGTGGTTGCAGGAAAGGTAGGAGTAGCCCTTCTGTCACCAGAGTGCCGAGACAAGTGTTGTGCTTGTGACGAGGTATCCTCGTGTTGCTCGGAGGAGTGAAAGGGTAGGCGGAAGCAACCAGCATCAATACTAGTGATGACTAGACATGGCTGTCTTTCTGGTCGCACAGCTGCTTTAAAAGAAGGTTGCAAGTTGAGGGAGATCTGCAAGCTGAGAAGGAGACCCGTTGCACCAAGTAGATGTTAAACTGTCAAAGGAAGCGTGAGGTGTTGTTGGAGTGACGGGACCGGACACTTGTCCTGCAGTCAATAGGGGAAGGATTCCGAAAGAACTATTTCGTCTCGAGAAGGGTATATAGGCGGTCAAGTCGATGTTCTTTTTACCACACGGCTCTTTCTTGTGGCACGGCGCCATATTGGCGAGAAGGAGAGCGGTGGTGGCATATGGCGCTCGAGAGAGGTTGAATGTTCATCGTTCACACAACAAAGGCATCAGTTATGTGCGTGCTGACTGAATCGCTTAGCAGGGTACCTGGCAATGGTTACCCTCTGTACAGCGCTGAACAGACTTGGAAGGGGAGAGAGAGGAAGAACTGTGAGGAAGCATGGAGCGTTGACCATTTTAGAAGGTTCAGGGAGAAGGAACGGTGTGTGGAGAAGTGTAGAAAGGCGAACTCGGTTGTGGAGAGTGTCACAGCAAGCCATTGCAGAGAATAAATGCCAAGGATTGTGGAAAAACAGTTGTGAAGGTCCAAGATTGTGGACGAACTCGGCACAGATTTCGGATTTGTCTTGGTCTTTGAGTTGAGTCCAATGTACCGTTTTTTTTTTTTTCTTCGGCGGACTCGATCAATCCTTGCGTTATCCCTGGTCGCTCTTCGGCCGTTCTCGTGTGTTGCTATGACCGCGAGGAAGGAGGTATTTGATGCTTGATATCGTTCAGAGGGAGGTGTATTTTTTTCTGAGGGTCTCGCCGTTTGTCATCAGCCACTGGAATGTGTGCTGGATATCATTCAGAGTGACGCTCACTACTTTTTCTGTGTCTCTCATTGTCACAAGTGGTGAGGCGGATGGTTGCTGTTGCTGCAGAAGTTGCAAAAAATGTTCTCGAAGGAATGCGGCGAGAGTTAGTGAGGTGCATGAGAGCAGTATCAGAGAACCGTTCCGCTGAGGTGAACTGGTCCAAAAAGTGGGCAGAACTCCTCTCCCAGAAGTGAGACAAAGGTTTTGGACCATGGTGAACTGGTCCAGAAAATGGGAAGAACTCCTCACAGAAACGAGATGAAGGTTTGAAAGCCGATCCGGCAAGACCGGCAGCGTTCAGGCGGAAAGCAGGAGCCACCCGTCGTTGACATGTCGCGACGGCCAAACTCTGTCCACTGGTGGGCCTGCTGCGACTAAGCAACGAGCAAGTGAGAAATCAAGCTAATGAGGTCGCCTTATTCATGCGGTGGGACAGTGAGTGACCGATACCCCTCCATTTAAACTACCACAACGTGGAGGACCTCCTCTCTCCTGTAGCAGTGAATACAATAGGCCTGGATTTTCGGCTGCGGAACTTGCAGATATCGGTCTGTCCCTGGCCTAGTTAGGCTCAGCTGGTCAGGTCTGGAGGTGGTGGTAGTTAGAGTGAGAGGGGTTTAGAGTCAGACTGTGGGGTTCGCATAATGCATGAGCTGACATGACTGATGGGTGTGTGACAGTCCGTAGGAGGCTCCGAAGGCCCACCCAACGGCGACATGCCTATCGGCACCCCTGCTATGATGATTACAGCAAGTCTAACTAATAGGGGCTATGTGTCCCCTATGCCCCTCCAATGAGGATCTCAATGCAGAAGTTTGTATTCACCCATTTACGCATGTGGATATGGCATTTCAACCATTTGATTGGATGGCGGAGAAGGAGAAGGAGAGGGAGAAGGAGAAGGAGAGGGAGAAGGAGAAGGAGAGGGAGAAGGAGAAGGAGAGGGAGAAGGAGAGGGAGAGGGAGAGGGAGAAGGAGAGGGAGAGGGAGTAGTTTGTAGCCAACCTAATTGTTGTCATGGCTTCTTGTGTGGGTGCAGTCAGCTGTACCAATACTCACTCGAAGGAAATCTTGGTAAGTCCTGCTGTATGTTTGAAGGCAGACAGGCGGCTGACGTCAACGATATTCAGGCATATTGTCTGATCTTTGCAGCGATTATTTTTGTTTTCTCACCTGAATGAATGTGTGATATGGGCAGAGCAGAGCTTCTCTCTTCACTGAGTCTTCAGTGCTGTGAGGTGAGTGAAGGGTAATTCAATGTTTCGTTTTGCGCTTTCCGAAAAAAAAAAAAAAAAAAAGCGAAAAAAAAAGAGGAATGTTTATGCACAAAAAAAAAAAAAAAAATCGGTGAAAAGGGGTTATGAACCTGATGCCTTGCCTGGCTAGCAGAGAACGAATCCATTGGTCCTCTTTTGTGTCTTCTTATGGGTTTGTTAACTTTGTTTTCTTTTCATTCTATTCGTCTGACAGTATGTGGATTCGAACTTGGGTCTGTATTTCAACAGTTCGAAGGGTGTTAAACTGAGCCAGGCCCATTGGTATATGGGTTTGTTTTCTTATGGGTTCTTTTTTTTTTCCAAATAATGTATGCTGTAGTACTGCATCTACTGATATATTGATGATAATAAATACATATTGACGAGATATATTTGACGATATATATCTATGTATATTCTGTTTGACAATATATGTGTATATATAAATATATATATTGTCAAACAGAGCTGCCCGGTAAACTGAGACAGAGAGGGAGAAGAGGACAACAAACAAGGGGCTGTGACAAACTATTTCGTCGGAGTTTCACCTATATGCTTCTGATCTTAGGTGCAGATGAAACTGGACGTGTTTGTGGAGAAAGAGTATTCTGTTATGATGATCTGCCAAGGAATGCAGATGTGCACGTTATTGATATCCATTTTTCGGCCATATCCTATTTTCGAAGATGAAATCGTTGCCCTGCGAAGTCGGATTTGTTATGTATAGTACATAGTCGTCTATTATGGCCCGTATTATTGAAAGGTCTCAAGGCATTGCAAAAACGCCTCCCTTCTCGTTTGTGAACGGATGCCCATGACCAGACATCCGAACGGTGCACCTGAGGAGTCAATTCTCTCCTGCAACGAGTCTTGACGCCGCTGGGACGGTAAACAGTGAGATTATCGGTCCATCGAGGAGCTTTTTTTTGGTCCTCCTTTTTTTTCTTTTTTTTTTTTCCTGTGTGACTGTGAGGTACGGAATTCTGCTGTATTCAAGATCGATTATGAATATTTCTGTGTTTCATTATAGATTATTATTACGGTTAATATTAAACTAGTATAGTAATAAACTATACCATTATTATTAGTATTTGTG